TGGCGTCCCATCATGCTACATCAGTGCAAAGTGTCATCACTGTCGAGATCCACCGTACCTCGCCCTTGGCGTTGACGCTGTGGCCTTCGTACAGACGGAATCGCACGGCATCCACGTCACCGTCTCTTGCAGCCAAGAAAAGGCTTTGCTACATCCGTCCATGAGTCCTTTATCGACTCTGCTGCAGCAACGGTACCGGCGGCAAGGGGTCGGCTCGGGTCCAGAGTAGAAGTAGGTATAAATTGTACAACAGTGCTCCCAGCAGGTACGTGGTCACAATGTAGAGCTGGTACACGACGTAAAGCATCACGAGGAAGAGCTTGTTGAAGTGAGTCTATGCTCCAAGCAGGTACGTGGTCATCACGAGGAAGTGCTGGTACACGACCCAAAGCATCACGAGGAAGAGCGTGTACACGACCCCAAGCACGATCGCATAGAGTAGCAAAGTTGCAACGTACGGACCATACTTGGAACCTGCATACTTTGCCAAGGAGGCCACAAGTAGCAGCACTGCCAAGGGCTACGCAGATCGTACGTGGTGACGTCCGGTGGTATATTCACATAACGTTGTACCTCATCGTTGTTTTCCTTGGAGGAGAGAAGCAGGGCGACGTGGAAATGAAGCTTACTTTTTGCAAGCTCGAGTGGCGTCTCGTCATTCTACAAGAGACGAAATATGTCGTTCATCAAATTTTGAGAATGGGACACATTGTTCGGGTTCGGTTCCAGTGACATACCCCGTTTTTTGCTGTGACGTCCGCGCCCTTCTCGAGCAAAAGGCGTACGACGGTCAAGTAACCATACCGAGCAGCAACGTGCAATGGCGTGTCCCCACGCTACGCCAACACACCGAATATATGCACGTGAGCGAGGCCACCGCACCACGTACCTTGGTTTTGGCGGCGGTGGCAGCGCCCTTCTCGAGCAACAGGCGTACGGTGGCCAAGTGACCACGCAGAGCAGCAACATACAAGGGTGTTTCACCAGCCTACACCAACACACAGAATAAACGCAGGAGCCAACGCAATAGTTACGTCGTTTTTGGCGGCGATGGCAGCGCCCCTCGTGAGCAACAGATCGGCGGCGCCATATTGGCCATGAGAAGCAGCAAAGTGCAATGGCGTGCAACCCGCCTACGTCGACAATGCGTAAGGTCATCGCGCGCGACTTCTGACGTACGAAGGCCAAGCAGTTGACGTTGGCGCCGTCGTCGAGACAGGATTGGATCACATCCAGCTTGCCACCTCTCGCAGCGGTGCAAAGGCTTCCCTACAGCCACATAGATCAGTCGTCTCTCATCCTCACTCGATCGACCTCTTGCTTGGTCAGCGATGCCCCCATTTGTCAAGTGACAATCAATCTTGCATTTCATTGGGTGGGCTGCAGGACGGAAAAATCTATCATTAATATGCTTTTAACGGACAGTACTCTGGGCTGCACAGTGGCCTGCACGTTTTAGCGGACAGGGAGCCGTCAAATTCTCTTTCATGGATTTTTATTTTCCTCTCCAGGAATATAATGACTGGATATTTGTATGTATTATTTTGAATCGAGCATAAGCGACGCGTGAACAGAATTCAGCGGCTGCTTGTCCGCTAAAATGCTTGGCCAATCACAGGCCGAAGAAAATGAGAAAAGCGCAGTGTTTTGGCGAATGGGCGCAGAGAACAATGACCGCAGGCGGCGGGCTGCGCACATGAGTGAGCGCCGACAGCGGACAGCTGCAGCGGACGTACCGGTATTCGACTGCTAGAACTTTACGGTTGAGGGCGCCCACCACATGTGCTCTGCAATGCCGTCCGTAAGATGCTCGAGAGCAACCTCAACGAGATCAAGAAGCACTAGTACTGCGCGAGGTCAACACTGGGTGCGCTGTGATAATGAGCCGTCCTCGTTGAAGGAAGCCACGGACGGATGGACACGAAGCGCGCGTCTTCAATTAAGAATGTTTCCTTGCGTTTATTAGGATGTTATAGCGTCGACGCTCAGTGGTTACCGCGTCAACGCAGTGCGCTCGCGAGTTTCAACTGGGATCGTAAATTGCCCTGTCATCTCGGCTACGGTGATGGCATCAAGGAGGTGTACTAGTACACAGATACACACACTTTCGAGCTCCTAATGAAAAGGATGATGTAGCGTGCGTCGGCATTCGGCGCTTGCTTGCCACGCAAGTCCAATCCTCGAGCAAGGTCCCCGTTTACCTTTGACGAGTACGAGAGCCTCGGCCGAGACAGCCGCGCGCTCCCGCTTCGCGCGCCTCTTCTTGACCATGTAGTGGGGCTTATGTGCCGATCCAAGTCGACGGAGACGGGATACTTGGAACACCACTCGAGCGTAGGCGACTCTACGATAGCGAGCTGCCTCAATACTCCGCAACCATATTGCCACGTCACGGAGACTTTTTGGCCAATCAGATACCAGGGAATTTTAACGGGTGGCCTGTCCGTCAAATTCCGATCACAATTCATTAATTTTATTTTCTATCGTTTTGAAGTGATCGTTTAATTGAATAACAACTTTTTTGCGCGAAGCGCGAGGGCACCCGGCGATAGCCGGGCCCGTGCGATAGCACGGTCGGGCAAAATGAAGTCGCAACATGGTGTCCCGGCGTGCGTCGGGAAGGGTCAAATTCGTTCAAGTACGAGTGGCAGGTCAATGTCGTCAAGCTGTATCTTGATTTTACTATTGGGTGGGTAAAATCTCGGTTAAGTCCGTTCCGCACTTAACCGGGTCCACGTACCTAAGCCAACCCTCGCGCCACGAGCGACCGGGTCCTGCGCGATAGCGCAAACCACGAGCGCAGCGAGTGCACCCGGCGATAGCTGGGGTCTGCGCGCTAGCGTGTTTGTGGCATATGCCTGCGCGAGCGTAGCGAGTGCATGTGGGATCGATGCGCGCAGCGCCAATCACGGTTGTAGCGTGTGCACTTGCTATACGACAGCGCGGGACCTTAATACTACGCGTGGTGTTAGATCAATGAGTTCGATCGCGAGGCTAGAATCGTATCTGGATGTTGCGTTCGCTTTGCAGGATTCCATTGCACTTCGCGTGCCAAGCACAGAACAGAAGACCCGATCATGGTGCGGACGCCAGTCTCGGGTGCGCAGCGCAAGTGCGAGCAGCAGAAGCGCCAAGCTGCATGCGCCCTGGTGACGTCGACTCCGATTGAGGAAGCCAAGGAGCTGAAGCGAAAGATCGCCGCGGGGCAGAGACGACGGCAGCGAACCAAGGCGTCGACCGCGACTGCCACTGCAGCGGCCGCGCCTGTCACAGTAGAATTGCTGGGCCTGCAAATCTTAGTAGCGATTCTTTAAACCACCTAATGAACGTTATCCATCGTGCAATGTTGATCATTCCGCGATGCTGTAGCAAGAGGTTGTGCGTGAAGCGCCCTGCTGTGCAGTACTGGACCCGAATGCTGAAATGATGCTCTTCCCGGCGACGGCTCCACATTGAAGCGAGATCAGGAAGACGCACCACCTTCACCGACGATGACACCACTGGAGCCCTATAAAGAATCCACCAGGTGCACCGCAGTGTCGTTTCCGGCAGAAGTCGGTAGCGGCCCGCTGGGCACCGCAACGAAGCGGAGGTCGCGTCCGTCGCACACTCGCCATGTGAATGCGTGTTTGCAGTAGGAAGGGTGCGTTGGACGTGCATACTGTTGTGTCCACGTGGCAGTCCAAGACCGTTCTGCATGCCTATTGGCTGGCGAGCTGTCCGAACTGCGAATGGACAGGATAGTTTTTCTAAGAACCGAATTCAGTTTTTCGTTTTGCCTTTGAAGAGCGGTGCATCCTCCTCAAGCGCAGACCTTGCGTCGGCATTCAACCCCGACGGCACAACACATACACTGTAGTACAAGAGCCCGTAAGGGTGGA